AATGTTGTAATAAAACATAAATTTTCATAAACAAGTTTGCAAGAACTGACATAAAATGAAGTACCAATTCGATCGCAGTGCTAGAAATCCTTTTATGTTTTAAATAAAGTGAGAACAATATATGAGTGTTTCTGAAATTGTTTAACAGTTCTACTATTATACCATGTTATATGCTATAGATAGATAAAATTTATGGTGTAATAATTTCCTGGCAACAATCCAAGCTCTATTCTTTTTTTAGTATTGCAATTTGCATGTAACAAAATTGTCTGTAGCATTGTTGCAATATATTGAATTAGCAAATTGGTATTATTTAAGGTTTATCGGTTTTGGAGAGATCGATGTCCAAACAATCGTTCGGGAAACGAAAGGACCGCGTAGTACGCGTTAAAAACGGAACGCGGTTGCTTTTACGGCTCCATCGGCATTGTTTTCGCCGCAAGAAGACATGAAAGTGACATCCGCGACAATTGTTCAATGATCATCAACAGGTGGCTCCCAAAGGAGAGCACCGTACCTGAAAGCAACTTATCGTTACGCAGAAATAGAACAATAGGCCAGAATTCTGACTTCAGGTCAGACAGAACTTTCCGTGTCTGAACAATGCCAGTTTTTTCTACTTGTCTAGGGAAACAACCGACACACAAACACGGATATTGATGAAACATGAACAGATATCTAATTATAGGAAAAATATTTGCCAAGCAGTGAAAACAGTGTTACAGCTGAGTTGTTTTAATAAGTGATTAAATGTTAATTTGTGTATACAGTCCAGCAGTATTAATTTATTTTACTTCGCAATGATAATTATTGAATACATTCTTTTCTTCCGTTTCATGCAATAGAAACAGAGAGAAGTCATTTATTTATTGAAGATTGATTAATAACGCCTTTAACGAGGCCGATTAAAAATGTCAGAGATCATGTTCTATTACTTAATGATTATTTCTAACAACGTCGAAATTAAGTCAAGTGTCCAGGGTAGTAAAATGTACTTTAAAGAAGAAATTCTAAAATTAATACAAAATTTTCTTTAACGTGGAGATCGGAGTAAAATAGAAACTATAAGATTAAATTGAAAATCTTCTATAACAATTTATCACTTTCATATCTTCACTACATTTTTACTCGCAGAGTGACTCCTAATTATTCAGTATACACAATAGCATCCAACTCTTAAGGAATGAAATGAAATTTTATTTAGTTAAATAGTATATTTACCGATCTAAATAACGTAATACCTAATGCTTTGAAAATACGAGTACCTTAACAACATCATAAAATTAATTTAATAAATAAAATTAATTAAATAAATAAATTAATTTAATAAATAAAATTAATTAAATAAATTAATTAATTTAATAAATAAAATTTTAGACAATAAATGCTAAAAAGATTTTAGTATATATTATTGTATCCAATATCAGTATTATCAACATATTGCTGCACATTAAAATTATTTATGAAAGAATAAAATTCTATTCCACTTTAGTCTCTTGCAATCTACTAATTTTACTAATTCTGGCTATCAGTTGTATTTGATATTTAATTCACTGATATGACCGATATTAAAATTTTCTTTTAAAAATGTAAATTCACAGTCTAAGAAATCTAGAAGTCTCTTCACACAGTCTATTCATCACCTGCGGATGTCGCTGGTGCAGCAGGGAGTTATACGGAGTCGAAGAACCCGTAACATTCAATAACACAATTACTGGAAATGTCTGGAATGTTTAATATGAGAATATTTCCAGTGAACTTGTTTTGCAAATAACTGCGGCGCCGGGGAGAGATACGAAAAATTCGATTAATTGAAACATGATGCGGGATCAATTCGACAGAGATTCAGTTCCCGTCGGCATTCTCCGGTAGCAGGTAACCGGAATGCTACGGTACGAGGAAGCAGAATACCGTAGCCGAGCGAAGCACTGGAAAACAATCATCTCCGGCGAACGATGGGAACGGGGAGGGGGGGATGAATGTAATGCACGTGTATCGATACAAATAAGATCCCCGACACGAATTCAAATGTAACTTGATTATCGGACTGTGGTACAGGGTTATCCAAAAGTACCATTAGGATGTCATGTTTGTTTCTAGTTACTTTCTACTTCTTTCTAACCTACAATGATAGACAATGTTAACGACGGAGTCCTATACGATTGAAAAGCGTGTTAAAGTTATTGAAATATATTTTCAAAATCAGTGTCCGGTAAAAAATTTCGTTAAAGAATTTGATGAAACTGGATCTGTTCATGATAAAACAAAAACAAATAATTAAAAAATTTAATTTAAAGTCTGGCAGACCAAAAACAGCTCGTTCGAATGAAAACATTGCTGCCGTTCGTGAAAGTGCTGTTAATGAGCCATCAACATCAATTCCACGTCGTTCTCAAGAATTAAACATCTCTTGTGGCAGTTTGTGACGAAATTTGCATGAAGATATGCATTTGCATGCTTATAAAATTCAATTTATACAAGAATTGAAAGAACATGATCATTTGCAATACAGAAATTTCGCTGATTGGTTGTTAGAACATCGTTCAATCGATGCATTGATTTCACACAACATCAACTTCAGCAATAAAGCTCATTTCACATTGGATGGACACGTCAATAAAACACTTCATCTAAAAAAGGTTATTGTTTGGTATGGATTTTGGTCGAAAAAGGTCGAAAGGTCAAAAGTTTCTTTTTCAAAAACGAGAATGCAGATGCAGTTACAGTGAATGATGTACGTTATATTGAAATGATTATTGATTATTTATGGCTGAAATTAAATGGAATCGACATAAGAAATGTTTATTTTCAATAAGACGGAGCTACGCCACATACAAAGTGTGAAAACGTCACTTTATTGCGATCGAAATTCAATGGTTGATTAATTTCAAGAAATGGTGATGTGAATTATCCAACTGGATCGTGTGATTTGACCCCATTGGACTTGTTTCTTCGGGGTTATATGAAAAGCAAAGTTTATACCAACAACCCAACAACAATTTATGACCTTCAAAATAACATTAGAAATGAAACTCGTGAATTAAGCGAGCAAATATGCTAAAACGTCATCGAAAATTTTGATATTCGAATTGATGTTTGTAAACGTGGTCGTGGTAAATAATTGTCATAGATGACACTTGATAATTAAATTTAAAAAAAAACAATAAATTCATAATAGTTTGTTTTTTATTTAAAAAAAGCTTCATACAGTCTATTTTGAATAACCCTGTATGAAGAAGAGCATCGGAGCGAACGCATCGTTCGCTCTGGGAGTTCGTTCGTATAGTTCGTGATCGATACTGGTCGATCTTAAGTTTTAAGCTATCACGGTTGCACAACTGGTATGCGATAAGGGAGAAAATGCAGGAAGTATAATGTAGTAAGTATTCATGAACAAGAAAAGTTGGTCGATTTCATCTTCAATTTCATTTTTATTTCAGAAGAATCCAAATGTTTTGCATAGTTTAATGTATTTGAAATATTTATATTTAGATCTTGACGCTTTCTACGTCACAAATGGATGTTAGTATAAAATTGATTACATGATGGAGTGAAAAATTATAGGAATAGAAAATGCAGGAAATTTAATACAATAGTATGAACAAGACAACTTGGTCAATTGCATTTGCAATTTCATTTTCATTTCAGAAGGATCCAAATTTTTGCAGAGTTCAATGCACTTGACTTATTCAAATTTAGATGTTGTTGTTTTAGATTGATTTAGAATGGGGAATTATAGACAGTGAAGGATGCATTAAATATAACGCAGAGCTATGGACAACAAAATTTGGTTATCTTGGTTGCATTATATCATTATATTTGAAATGTTCATATCTGGATCTTGATGCCTTCTTATATGACAAATGAAAGCAGTGTAAAATTGTTTATATAATAAAATAAGAAATTATAGGAACTGTTTTTTTACGATTTTATATAAAAGAATGTGAAATTATTTTCTTAAAACAAGAGACTAGACCAAAGGTTGTATTGTTTCCATTTCTCACGGATTTCCGATAAATCACATAAATTATCAATCTGTTCATAAATGCTTACGATCTTAAGCAGAAAACTATAATAAATCATATAAATATAATTCCACGTGATGAGTACTACAAATATAAATGTTCAGCTTCGTAAATCAACACGTGATCGACGTCGTTCAGCATGGATTACACGGCATTTGCGTAAATCAGGAGAATAAATAAAAGAATTTTATTTTACACATTTGCTTAATCAAGAATTGGAGTTTCAAATATAAAATACTGATGATATTATTCGTTGAATTATTACGGAATTTTGTCAATAATTAACTAGACAGCAATTTCGTTCTTGTAAATTAATATAATTAGAGGAGTATATTCCCATAAGTATAAAACCTAATATTTACATAATAATATTTTACTTAATTTTTATTTTATTTAGTATTTTTTTATTTTATCTTCGTAAGTCGGTTTTTGCAATACGTATATGTCAAAAATGTTACAAAAACTTCTACATACGTAATAAGTAGATTACGAATCTTTATGCAAAATAAAAAATGTAATTAATTATAGAAGGCAGAAGTTATTCATTAATCATTAATCATTCCTAAATTCTTCTAATGTCTTCATTTTTTCGTATTGATCGTAATCAATTTTAGTATAAATCCATTAACATAAAACATAAAAATTAGTTATATCAATTACAACAAACGAAAGTTAAACAAAAATGTATTTCTTCTTTTAATAATTTCAATAAATTGGGAAGAATGTTTTTACATTCTTCGACTCTTCTAATGTCATCATTTTTTGTTATTTAATATAAAATCAATTTTAGCATAAATGCATAAAAACCGTAGTCTAGTAATACGTACATCGTTTCGAAACTTAAGTGTATTGTGCCATTCAGAGCGAAGGTACATATGTACATATGTGTTTTGTATATGGAACGATTAAGGCAAATTGGATGCATTATGAATTTCGAAACGGGCGACGGATAAATTAATTTTCTCATTTACTCACCAGAGTGTTCGTCGTGTCGTAATGAAGATGTTCTGTCCACTCCCGCCTAAACCATCTAAATATAGACCTGTCGCGTTATCATGAACCAAACCGAGACATTGATTGGCCCATCTCTGCGCTGCTTTGCCCAATCCAGAGTGCCATTTCTGAAACCACAATTATGTTCGAATTAGTTCACTTACCGTAATCACATAACACGATAATTGTGAATACGATTGGACTCTACCGAAAGCTGGAAATGTTCGCGAAAGGATAACGGTAGTTGCGTTAATATTGTCATTTGTCAAAAGTTTCAAATGTTAAGGAAAACTAGTAATATTATGTATTGTTTATAAAATTGTGACAATATGAAAAGCAAACAATCGATTTATTTTCAATATGTTAATCTGTTTATTTATTCTATGTTATGCATCGATTTATGCACGTTTATTTGTAAATACAATTGTCATAATTTTATATATACATGTACATATGTGTATGAAGAAATAATTTAATCATAATTGCAGCTATATTTTTTCTTAAGCGTTATGCGTTTGCATTATCTTCCACACAATTTTTCTCATAAAAATGTATAACTTCCTATGACTCGAAGTAATATTGTATTTCATCGAAACAAATTAAAATTTTCATATAATCACGTCTAACTTTTAATGCAAAAGTACTAATGTATCAGCAACCATAAATGCAATTAAAAAGTGCTACAGTGTTGTTTAACCTCTCAGAATTTACTCGAGATTTGAATAGAATCCAAGTATCGATGTTATTAATTTAGGTCAAATCAGAACAATAATCTAATTTTCTATTATACCAATTTAAACATCGAAGTATACGTGAACATGCAATAAACATGAATTTACTTCTTTTAAAAAATAGTGGAAACATGAACAAAAATCGTAGAGTCATCTTTCAGAGTTTCGCAAAAGTCTCAAGGTATAATTGTTAAGTAGTTAATCATTTCTTCAAAGAGAGAGAGAGAGATCGATCAATAATTTCGGTGATTCTAAAATAGTAGGAAACTAGAAATTCTAGAAGAGTAGAAATCAAATCGTCTCTGACGGTGTGTTGGTCGAAGCGTTAAATCAAATAGAGTTTTCTATGATTATTTTTTGTTCAGCTTCGCTTAAATCGGCATAGCTCGGCTCTGTCGATAGAATATACGTTTTTTGTCAGAATTATCTTTTTTTCATTTACTATTGTCCGTCTGTCGTATCCTTTTTATACTGGCAGATTCAATTTAGGAGTTTCAAACTAGAAAATTCCTGCTGCGTGAAATAAAACGGCAGATATATATTCTTCGCACAAATCGAAGAATAGATTGTTTACTACTGAGAACGCTGTTCGAGAAATTCTATTGTATATTAATTAATTCAGCCGAAATCCCGTCGATCGTTCACAATTAATATAACGTACATACAATTAGATGGCTCCGCATATTATTTAATATTATTTAATAACACAAATATTTGAATACATAAAATAATACTCCGTAAAGTTTTAAAAATAAGTTGCATGTAAATATCGATTCGATTTTATTAAATTTAGTATTAGATCTGTTAGTATACATTATTGTGCTACAGCTTGAAACACTGTAAAATAAATGATCTGGAACTATTTATTTGAATCGGTCCAGTACAACTAATGTTAATTTAAAGGTAAATAGTCCATTCATAAAAATTTGTTGCATCTTAAAAATTTTGATAGATACGAAACAGTTCATAAAATGTTACAAACGGCAGCGTAAAATTTATTTAATTCGTGTTACACTCTTTAAAAGTCATTCACAATTAATGAATTAATCGTTTCCGAATCTTGAAGAGACCCCTAAAAATAAAATTGATAACTAAACTACAGATTTTTATGCAAAATTAAAATTGTCTGCGCCACTTGTAAGCTACAGAAGATGCATAGACGCATTACGTTTGTTAACAATTGTAATAAATAGAGCATGATCCAAAAATCTTTCTAAATTCTTTAAATATTTTTATTCTTTTCTATTCGATCACACATGTATGCGATCATTTTTATCATAAATGGAGAAAATCCGCAATCCATCAGCAAATAAATGAAAAATAGACATTTACAGTTTTTCGAGTATTGAAACGTAACTAAAAGAAACAACATTTCAATGCATTCTTATTTCTTCACAGTTAATCAATGAAACGTATCAATAATCGATTGCAGGCACAGAATCCTCGCAAGCGCTTTCAACAACCTCGGCGAACGTAATCACATCAGTTGATTAACGACGGGAAAGAATTGTTTAAAACGTGTTCGAAAAGAAGACTGAATTCGTCGAAGCGGGAAACGGGCTCTTAACTGGATGCAATTAGTCTAATTGTCTCGAGGTCGTTTAACTGAAATAATTACATCGTATTGCGAGCAGAACGCGTTAACGGAAACACCGGTGCGATTAATAATCCGCGGAGAAATCTAATTCTGCTGCGAAATAGTCCACTTAGTCGGTATTAAGCAGAAATTTCGGACAGAAGTTCCATTAAAGTCGACTTCGTCCGTCGTCACGAATATTACTCGCAATTTCACTTTCATCGTTATGATCGTCTATAGGAGGGGCGGGGAACAAAGGGGTGGAAGCAATGGAAAGGCGCGAGTAAAGGTACAAACGAAGTAGAAACGACTGAAAAAGAAAGAAAAACAGACGGTAAAAGGTTGAGACGTGAAAAGGAAGCCGGAAAAATCAGCAAGAAAGTTTTGAATTTAAACTCTTAGCTGAGGAAACTTTTTCTCTTTAAAATATACAAAATATCATCGCTTAAGTGCGAACGGAATTTTCGGATATCTTGTGGACGAGACGAAACGAAAATTACATTTCGCGAAACTTTCGGCGTTTCGTATAATATCAAGTTATTTTCGTGATCTTTTCGAAGTAGGAAGTGTAGAACTTGAATTCTTTAACATCGTTTTCATTGCCTTTGAACCATAATCTGGGCACAATTTGGTATTTAAAAATCAATAACAAACTGAATTATTCAAGAAATTCTTGCCACTTATACTTTCTAAAATTATATTAGAATTAATTACATTTTCTAAAAAGATCATATGAACGGAAAAATTTGCTTAAGGAAATCTGAATTCATGAATTACGAACACGATGCCGGATTACAAAAATAATGATTATTAGAGAAATTCTTGTCACTTTCGTTTTCTAATAATATATTAGATTTTAATGATATTTTTGGAAAGATCACAAACAAATGTACTCGGCTAATGAAATCTGTTTTTTTTTTTAGATATAGTAGAAACGGTGAAGAATTGGCATGTTTCATGCATTATGGACGGCACTGTTCAGTTACAATCACTCAGAAAAAATGATGCAACAGTGAGGCACGGTATTTCAAATTTTTCATTGGCTTTTTCTCGGCGAGCCCGGGGATATTTATCCTCGAAGACGAAGGTGAAGGCGACGGTTTGACATAAACGTTATTTACACAATGTCGCACAGCAGAAAATACAAATTTAACCAGCTTCGATAGCGGAGGCGGCAAGTTGCATTTTAAACGGTCTCATAAAAATGTATTCACGTATCGCCGAGTGCACACAGAATCCATCCATTAAATTCATCCCCTGTGGAGACCTACTCTCGCGTCGAAATTTCGTAACCCCCGAAAAGCGGAGGGTGAAATTATACCGGCGCCAAATATTCAGGCGGGTACCTTCGAAAGGTGCAACATCCGCGACGACAAAAATTTCAACGAGACCTGGAAATATTTTGGAAAGTGGTGCAACCGACACGTGCTATTTACGCGGAAGTGCGGTGCACATTTCGGTCAACTTGTTCAAACAGATTCTGAAATACATTAATGTATTCCTTTTTTAAAAACAGGAAAATCGTTATATTGGATACGTTTTTTCAATGTGTAAGGTAGTTGGATAATGTAATATTTTATTGATCACAAAAATGAGGAGATTATTATTTTATTATCAATAATAAAGTTATAAATAAATGACAAACTAAAACTTTAACTAGCACGATGATTTTCACAGAAGTGACTAGTATAATGGGATCATGATAAACGCCACATAAAAAATACAAAATATATGCTAATCTACTTTTAAAAATCGGTGCATATA